GAACCTGGGTCAGCCAGGTCAGCCGCGTGCAAGGCAAACACCCTACCCAACCCAGGTTTGACCCAAAAAGCAAAAAAAAAAGATTTGCACAGGACACCTGAGCAGGCCCAGGGTATCCAGAGATCCAGACAGCAGTGTCTGTTGTAGAAGGCGTACGTGTCCTTAGGTGAAACGTGTGCCCTGGCCCGTGAGGGACCCGGAGAGAAAGTACCCACTCCAATAGTCCATCAGCTAACGTGGCTTTCTAATCGTGGGGCCAAGAGCCAGTTCTGTGGTGACAACTCTGGTCCTAGACTCTGGATCGTTATTCTGATGTGGTTGGGCCTTTTTTACAAACATTTTCTAACCCGAGCTAAATGAATGCTGCAAAGGGATTCATCAAAGTATCAATTACAGACACATTTCTATTACAGGGTGTCTGTGTTCACACTCGGTCCTCGTCAGGCGCAGGGAGCAAACCAAAGTGCCACATGGATGCAGAAATGACAAGCAGTGGATGTACCGCAGGGGCTCTCCTGAGCCACGTCTCTTCGGGCTGTGCAAAGGCACCTTTTGTCACATTCTCCCTCCCCCCAGGCAAGGCTCAAGGGGGGGGTGGGTTCCAGGAGAGACAGCTGAGTTTCCCTGTGGGCTTCGCCAGCAGCTCAGGGCTAGAGGTCTCTGTGCAAGAATAGCAGGAGAGCAGATCCAAGGCAAGCCAAGCCCTGCCACAACCTCAGGCCAGTGCTGGGCTCTTGGCTTCCCCCTCACCCTGTCCCTCCCACCACGTACTATGAACCAGTGATGGCGGGGCTGGGACAGCAAACCAGGGCACTGCTGAGAAGACAGATACACGTGCTCTTCCCGAGCTTGGGACTCTCGGGACTCTGGAATCACTCAGTCATGCTGGGAACCCAAGTGTGGCCTTTGTTCATTCATTTCTCAGTGCAGAGTGTCACAGGAGGGCCTTGGTGAATGAGGCACCAAAGGATGGGTAGGAAAACTAAGCAAAAGACTGAAAGGTCTTGCCTTTGGCACCTCTATGGCTTAGGTGGGATAGGATAAAACCCAGTGTTCATGCCAAAGAGATAGTACACTGGCTACAGCGATCGCCTTGCATGCACTTGGATCTGGTTTCAAACCCAGCACCACATATGCTCCATCCCCTCCCCCCAGCACCAAGCCCACCCAGGAGGGATCCCTGAGCACAGTCAGGTGCAGCCCCCAATAAAGAAATAAATCAACCAACCACCAGTTTTTGCAGAGAAGAAGCAAAGATTACAGTAAAGAGGGCTGAGCAGAGGCTTCAGAATAGAGACCCACCCAAAGAGTGACAAGAGGTTCCCGGCTCTCAGCAAGGGCTCCTCTTGCATCCTGAGCCTCTTGGGCATTCTGAGAACACAGACACATGTGCAGAGGCAGCTGGCACCTGACGCAGGCTAGAGTAAGAGTCACTGCTACATCTGCGGGCTTACTCTGAACTTGTACCTGTCCCGCTGCTCCACAGCGCATCCTGATAAAAAGACCAGCCCCAACACACACACACACACACACACACACACACACACACACATACACATACACACACACAGCCCTAAGCCCCGTGCTCTGATCTTGCAACTGAAAGCAAAGGTCACACAGCCACAAGCCTGTGCTCCCTGCTGTCGCTGGCCACCGCTGTATGGGCATGGCCAAGACGGAGTAGCCCACAGTGCGGGTGTCCCCACCTTCCCTGCCCTCCCAACTCTGAGAAGCACAGAAGCCCCGGGAAAGCCTGAACCACTTTCCCCAAACGGCAGCCCTGCCTGCCACCTCTGGGCCCTCTCCGCCATCTGGATGCCACCTGCAGGAGGGTCTGCGGCTCCTCCCCCCAACCCCCACCCCCAGAAGCCAGGGAAGGGTAAAGGGCGTTCCCGCTGCCCGGCACGAAGGCCCCAACAAAGATCCCATTGTGCAGGTCTCAATGGGCAGCTCTGTCAGACGGCAATAATATTATTTTCTGCTGCGGACAAGTCACTGCCATTTTTAAAATGGAAACAGTCAGTTCCCCTGTCCACCACGGGCAGTGCTGTTTGGGACAGCAGGGAGGCCTCCGGGTGCCATGGCACAGCCAGGCAAGCACCCACTGGGAGAAAGTCAGGAAGACGGGAGAAAGAGGGGGTGGCTTTCTGAAACCCCTCCCTGCAGTGGCTCCCCGTCTGCTGACTCCCTTCAGATGCCCTCAGCATTTATTCACGGTCTCGGTAGTCAATCGAGACAGTCCAGCAGGGAGGAAACTTGCCTTGCACATGGCCAACGTGGGTCCAATGCCCAGTAACATCTACATTTCCAGGAGCATGAAACGGGAGTGATCCCTGAGCACTGCAGGGTGTGACCCAAACACTAAAAAAGAGGAAAGAAAAAAAGAGAAAAGCTACAATCTCATGGATGCAGGCCCTGGGGACTGATGATGTCACAAGCATCGACTGCTCCTTGCTGGAGGGCACACTCCGGCAACCATCTCACCAAAGCCATTCATAACGGCTGGCCAGCAAGCAGCCAGAGCTTCCGTTCTCCGAACCTGCACTATTACCCTCTCTTCTGAGGGAAGGGCAAGCTCGAGGGACTCCTGTGGAGGTGGGTAACTGCAATCGGGTCATTTGTGAGAGCTCAGACTGTTCCGAAACCATCAAAGCAGTAGGGTTTGAGGTGTGGTCACTGAGACTCCCTGCAGCCACCTCTGATGTGCTCGGGGACTTGCTCATTAAATCCCTGACTTCCGCCTCATGGCTGCATGTCCCAACTCCACACTGAGAGGCCAAGGGGACAGGGAGGGGGAGTTGAGGTTGGACTTTATCGTTGCCTGCCTTCAGGCCACCGGCTGCCTCGTTCTGCACTACAGGAGCCAGATGCACCACCTAAAGGGACACCTCGCACCCCTGCAGAGGGCCCAGCTGGCAGACACATGTTCACTGGGAAAGTAGGTCCAGTCAAAAAGGATGCCCATGGGACGAAGGCGGCGGGAGGGAAGGGAGGAGCGGGGTGAGGAACAGGTCAGGTTTGAGGGGTGAAGAGGCACATTCAGGAATGTAGGAAGGAACAAGAAAACAAACGGGCGGGTCTTCCAGAGAAAATAAAACAGGGTGTCTCTCTTGCTCTCCCTCTCGCTCTGCCTCTTCTGAGCAGATAGCATCTACCCGGAGGCCAAGATGATTCCCACAGCTTCAGCAACCAGAGACAGACAGGGTCCTCCAAGCCACCCTCACTTTCACGGTGCAGACAAGCAGCCCCAACCCAGGACGGGACATGCCCAAGGTCACACCCACACGGGTGTCGGTGGGAGACCAGAACTCCAGATGGGAGCACTCCCAGCAGAGAACTCTCTCTCTCAGCACTCCCGGAAATGACAGACTCCACCCACCGCTCAGGGGAAAGGCATTAACTGGGCCTTCAGAGCCTCTGAACTCCCCACATGTTGTCCAGCTGAGACAGAATTTAACCTGGACTTTACCTTCCCAGCGAACATCCTGGAAGTCTCTGCTTCCACATGCTCCTGTGGCACTATACAGACAGCCCTGACAAGTGACAGAAATGCCTGCTGATGCCAAGTTGGTCTTGACAGGCCCCTCAGAAAAAATGGCACCTGTCTGCAGTGGGCCAGTCCCCAGACTTCTGCCCCACCCCCTCAAGCCCGCCCCCTCACAATGACACTCACTAGGTCAAGAGATGCTCTATGCAGTGTCACAGAGATAGTACAGTGGGCAGGGAACTTGCTTTGCTATCAATTGATCCAGCAATTCCCAGCATCCCGGGATTCCCTGAGCACTGCCAGGATTCCTGAGTGCAGAGGCAGGAGTAACCCCTGAGTATCACCATGTGTGGCCAAAAAGAGAAAAAGGTGTGTGCACAGGAAAAAGGTCAGGAGATTTTAAGCAGATACATGCAGGCAGCAGTGAGAAATGTGACACAGGAAGAGACTGGGGCCAACTCCTCAGACCAGGATGGGCAGGACACCAGGGATGTGAGTGTGTGGGTGGAAAGGAAGAGAGCTCAGACAAAGGGATGGGGAGGAGAAAGAGGTTGAAGATGCAGGTACAGGTCTGCCATCCCAAACAAGAACCACAAGCACTGGTTCTTCTAAAGCATTAAGGAGCTCAATTCTTATCTTGAAATGAACCTTCACTTTTTGTTTTGCTCTGTTGAACACTCCCAAGGCATCCTGATCACCTCCTCAGAAACAAAATGGCATTTGTTAGCAGGAAGACGTGTGACCACATCACAAACTGACAGTGTACAAGCAATATCTTAACACGCATGCTCTGCTCGCCGGAAATACTCTTTAGGTCTGGGAGAATGAAAAGACACAACCTCTTTGGAGCAATTCATGAAGGACAACTGGCTGCTACCGGCAGCCATGTTCAGATCTAAGCAATGGAGTATAATAGATTCGTAATATCAGTCCTGCATGCATATCTGCCCCAGCCCAACTATGTCAGACCCAGACCAGGAAAGGTCACCCCGCCCCAAGCCCAGTGTGGGTTTGTCATCGGTGGAATGGTGAGGTGGCTGGTTTAAATGTTCATCCACTGGGGCTATAGCGATACAACAGCGGGTAGGGTGTCTGCCTTACACACGGCTCACCCGGGTCCTCATTTTCAGAGGATGCCCTCTAGGAATTCCTTTAAAACTCAAGACTCAAAACTGATAGCTTTCAGCATTATCCAAACTCAACCTCCAGCCAAGCCACACATTAAGGTTAAGGGGGGAACATCCTCAAGCAGAGAAAAGAATGAAGCCATTCTTTTCATCCTGCCAAATCTCTCCGGAACTTAATTTTCCCATTGATCTGAAGAACTTAAGAATCAAAAAGGAAGGCAAGGAAAGCAGACAGATGGCTAGCCCCTCTCCCCCTAGAGATGTGGCAGACCAAACCATCACTCAGACCAGCAGCTCAGAGAAGCAGAGACTCAAACAACAAAGGCTCATTTCCATAAGAGAACAGTTCTGAAGCACGCGGACTATTGCTTTTCAACTTGGCTTACTGATCATGGTGGTTCCACCGGCCAGGGCCGCCTTAGTGCCTTGAAAGAAGTCATCAGCAGAGGTCATTCCCTGGTCTGGCATCTGGAAGCGGGTATGCACATCGATGCCTCCTGGGATGACCATCCTGGAGTGGGCTTCGATGGTCTTCACCCCTCCTGGCACAATCAGGTTTTCTCCTATTTGCCTAAACACACACAGGGTGGGTGATTACAGATGTCAATGACTTCCTGAATCAAAGGAGATCTGACGAACATTTTACCAAGCCACACATTACTTTTCCCGGTGTTCCTTTGATTTCCCTATTGTTCATGATCTTCATGACCTCCCCCCAACTAAATGGCACTAGGGAGTACCCAAGAAAACACAATTTCCATAGGCCTTCAAAGGACCCACAGAAATTACGGGAAAATTCTTACCATCAAATAATAAGCACCACCACCAAAGATGGTCACTTAAATGCTGCTAATCTTACTCTAGATCATGAAAACTTGATCTGATTATCCTAGAGGACTTCTCCAGAACTGGCAGCATTTAACCAATATTCATTTTTTTAGCAAAGAAAATTAGTCTTTTTAGGAAACTGGAATGATAGTACAGCAGGCAGGGCATTTGCCTTGCACACGGCCAACCCGGGTTTGATTCCCAGCATCCCATATGGTACCCCCGGCACTACCAGGAGTAATTCTTGAGTGCAAAGCCAGGAGTAACCCCTGTGCATCGCTGGGTGTAACCCAAAAAACAAAAAATAAAATAAAAGTATCCTTTTTAATGCAGAAAAAAAGAGAGGGTGCGGGGCTAGAGCGATAGCACAGTGGGTACGGCATTTGCCTTACACACAGACAACCCAGCATCCTATATGGTCCCCTGAGCACTGTCAGGAGTGATTCCTGAGTGAATGAGCCGGGAGTGACCCCTGTGCATAGCTGGGTGTGACTTAAAAAAAAAGAAAAAAAAGAGAGGGTGAAGACAACTAAACAAAGCTGCCAAAGGGAGAGGGCCCCTCTATGATGGCATCTCTATGAAATATTTAAAAGCATCTAATTAGCAATTCAGAAAAAAAGAGGAGGTTAGAAAATTAGTATCTATTAAGCTGAGGGGCATGGCTTCACTTCCCATCTAAAAACATCTATGACATCTCTCCACCAATCATGTTAAAAAGGAAAAGGATTCGAGGAAGAGCAGATAACGTTCTAAAATAAATTAGGAATGGCCACAATTAGCACCGAGGCCTACTCGTTTCTAGGCCAGTATCTTTCAGGTTGCCATGCAGATACGGCTGCCTCCTAAGGGGACAGATGGAACATGGAAGTGCTGGCATTTCAAAGCATGGAGTTAAGATGCTCACAAGCAAACACATGGGGAAAACATTAAATGTGGGACTATTAAAACCTATTTTAGGTTCACAAATGAGGGTGTGAGTTTCCAAGCAATAGACTCATCTACTCCAGTTTTCCACTTCTCGGGACTGGTTTGATGCTAGCACTTGATAAATGCTGCTTATTTAAAAGATGTCACTGGCTGGAGTGTTTGTCTTTAAACAGATGTGCTATTTCTCCAGAACCCTGGGAGCTGTCCCAGTCAGAGGGGCATGAGAACACTGGTATGAACTCAGACTCCTTAACCCTCTAATGTCCCAAAATATCTTAAAATCAGTAACTTCTTGTTTCTTTCTCCTTTGGAACACAATGCACAATAAACACAAGGGTTAGCTGGTGTTAACTGCATTTAATGAATAAAGCCTGAAACTCTCTTGGGGTGAAAGAGTAATCTGTGTTACGTGGTCATTAATCTGCTGTCCTTTGGTTCCTCCAAGTTAAGAGTCTTGATTAAGAAAACAGATGTGCTGGCTGGCTTACTGAAGAAGCTGTACTCCATAGTTTGAGTTCTCTGATTGGGCAATCCACCCCAACAATTACATTCTAGGAAAACATTAAATATATACAATGTATCATAAACCAAGTATTTGATCTGGCAATAAGAAGATACTGTGTCACCTCAGCTAAAAATAGTAAATTACATAATACCTAAGGAACCGGGTGAGTATTTATTTGTAACCTTGGATTCTCTGAATCTGAGTTTTCAAATTCACTAATTACCAGCAATGAAAGCTGGCTTAAACAGATACAAAGCTGAATCACTCAAGCTTGACACTCTCTATGTGGATAGTAGACAATGATTAAGAATACTGGAAGGTACACAGACATTTTCATAGAATGAATTATACTTACTTGATCAGCCCATCTTCCATGTATATGTCTGCATAGAATGACTGGTCATCATTAACAATTTTACCTCCTTTGATCAGAAGCCGATCACTCTGAAACAAAGAAGTATAGTAAGGTCACAATGCTTGGCTGATCAATAGGAAACGAAGGAACTAAAATAAATGCACTAAGGATACGTTTCACTATTTGAAAGAGATGTTCAAAATGAGTCAGTGTTGGGTTTGGTGTTTTTGGGGTTTTTTTGGGGGGAGGAGGTTGTGGTGTTAGTGGCTATCATTGATTTTGGCACTAGATACTGAACATGCAGTGTGCAAAGCACATTCTTTACCATGGACCTACAATCCTATCACCAAAATAAGCCAATTTTGGAAAGGCTTATAAACAAAGGTAAACCTGTATGTGATGGCACCTGATGAGTCAGGACACACCAGCAAAGCTCAAAGCTTATGCTAGGTTAAAATAAATTTTGAAAAACTCTCTAATTTTAAACCTGTAAGCACGGAGCCAGGAGAGGGGAGGGAGAAAAGATACAAAAAGGAGAAGGAAAGAAAGGAAAAGGGTGAAAAGGACAGAGAGAGAAAGAGAGAGAGAGAGAGAGAGAGAGAGAGAGAGAGAGAGAGAGAGAGAGAGAGAGAGAGAGAGCGCTTCACAATCTCCCTTTATTTTTTCAATTTTTTTCATTTGGGAGGGTTTGGGGTCATACCCTGCAATGTTCAGGGCTTACTCCTGGTTCTGCTCTCAAGAATTATTTCTAGCGGTGCTCGGGGGACTGTATGGACAAGGGATCAAACCCAGGTCATCCATATGCAAGGCAAACTTCCTACCCAGTGTACTATTGCTCCAGCCCCTCAAAATCTTCCTTCAAAGCAAGTGAACGGACGAGGTTGGGCGATCTTCCAAAGGGTTGGCCACATGCTTTTCAGGTAGAACAAGGTTCAATCCTGGACACTGCACTGCTCCAGGAACAGCCCCAGAACACCACCAGGTGTGGCCAAAAACAAACAAAAAATCATAATAAAGTGCAGTGAAAACATTTCAGACAAAGATAAGACAAACTCTTTGGAAGGGGAATGGGGAATGGAGAGCACATTAGCTTAGCTCAGGACTTATTCCTGGCTCTGTGTTCAAGAATCTCTCTCGGGGTTCACCTGGCAGGGTTCAGGGGACCATATAGGATGCCGAGGGTCAAAGCTGGCACGAGCAAGGCAGGCGCCGTACCCTCAGTGCTATCTCTCTTGATAAGACAAATTAAAATGGCTTTAGGTTAAACATTTTTTTAACTGCACCCCACATGTAATACACTCAATTCTTGCCAAGAGTTGGGGCAGGAAAATTCACCAAAGTCTGTTGTCATGGTATCCTTTACACAAAACAACATTAAGTGCAACTGTAGCCAGGTTCCAATTCATTATATCCTTTAGACTCCCATTTTTCTTGAGGTCAATCACAGTGATGGAGGCAGAAAGCCCACCTCAGATATCTAGGAAATTGTTTAGGGGGAAAAAAAGGTAGCTCTATAACAACATTGTGATGGGCAAATTCTAAGGTCTGACACCACGATGGATTTCTGGTGTTCATCAATTTTCAGAGGTGCAAAAGTATATGTGACAAACAGCACATGAAAGCCAGGAAGGCAAGAGAAACATTACATTATGACTCTTTTCTATTCTAATGCTCTTGTGGAACAAAATGTTAAAATCCGCTGCCAATAAGGAGGCACCTATGTTTTCCCAGACTGGGTTTTAATTAAAGTTACAGGTGGAAGCACATATTGCCTTCTTATTATGCAAAACACTTCCAAGCATGACATTTCATCTCGACAACTGTGAAATCAAAAGTCAGGTACCAAACGACATTCTCAGCAAGCCCTCTTTATGTGTACCACTTACCAAGAAAGAAAAGGATGGGGAAACCTTTCATTTAAAAAATATATAAATAAATAAATAAATAAATAATGACGCTACTAGGGAAATGGGGAGACACAGAAATGACACACATTACCTGGCTCTAGGATTACCTAGCTCTATCATATCTCTAACATCATGCAAGACAGTTAAGATCATTTTCACTGGGTACCGTGGGGAGCCTTCATCCTGCGGTCGTTTTTGGAATAATAATTCCATGGGGAACGCCGAGACAACAACAATACCTGCACTGGCACAGGAGAAAGGCGAAGATCTTCACAAAATTCTGACACGCACCCCAACCCCTCCCTGAATCCTGACATAAAAGGTCCATCTGAGACAGTCAGATGGACTGTCTCATGACATAAAAGGAAACTGAGGTTCCAAGAGATTAAGCCAGTTACCTAGGTCACCTGCTCCTACGCGCTTTCATCTGAGAGAAGGATTCTCCTTTCTCAGGATTACCAATTTGACAGTATAAATTGAGCCTGAGAGGGAAAACGCCCTGCCCTTCACCACCAGCTCCCTTAGTCACTGCAGAACCGTGCCAGCCACCACAACGAATCCGCGAATTCCCTAGCCAACATCAAGCCCAGAGGGAGAGAGAGAGAGAGAAAAAAAAAATCCCTTCCAGCCCTGTTCATCCTAGTGCTTTCCAGAAGGCTGCTTACATAACAATCCACCCTGATGAGGGTGGGAGGAAAACCAAGCTATAGGTCCAAGAGAATACGATCAGTTTTGCTTTTTTTTCCCCTTTAGGGATGGAGGGGGCGCTCTTTAAAATAATAATAATAATAATAATAATAATAATAATAATAATAATAATAAATCGTCGCCCTGATTGTTAGCTTTAAATTTTTTTTTCTCCCCTCCTCGCTGTCAAAACGAAACTGTCTCTTTCACGCACTGAGGTTGCGAATTTATTTGTGGCTTGGAGCAAACATGCCTCCCACACGCTCCTTCCTTCGGGGCAGGAAACACAGAAAGTAGGGGCTCCCTGCCTGGCTCTGGGGAGCCTGGATCTTGGGCCTTTAAGGGGCGGTGTGGCCCGGCCTAGGTCATCTTACAAAGCCAGCCCATCACACGCCCCCCCACCCCGGCCCCGGGCTCCTGTGCTCGCGGCTCTCTCCCGGGGATGGGTGTGCCCCAGTGCATCCAGAGGAAGCAGGGGTGCCCGCGGACGGGGAGGGAACCTGCGCGAAAGCGCGCCCTCGAATCCACACCCAAACACGTCTTGACTTTGCAACAGCGTCTTTCGCTCTCGGGGGCTCTCTGCCCGGCGATCGGCCGGCCCACGGCCCATCATTATGTAACAATGACTATCCCTCGCGTCCCTCCCTCTGGGGATTTCATTCGGGGATGTAGAGAACTAGGGCTGGCGAGATTTTTTCCAGGAAAAAAAAAATGGGAATAGGGTGGGGGCAGGGAGGCAACGAGATCAAGAATCCGTGCTCCGCGCCCGATGTTACGCAGATTCACGGCTCTGAACCGAGGGTGGTTCTCTAGATGGACAAACTCACACCCCCCAAACCCCCACCCCGGCCCCAGGATTGCACCCACACCTCCAGCCGCAGCGATCATTGTCTTAGCCGAGCCGCGGCCGGGCCATCTGCTCGGCGCGTCGCGCTGCGCCATTAGCGCCTCCGAGCCCGGCTCGGCGCGGTCCCCAACGCCCACCCTCCAGCCCGCTTTGTATGCGCCCACACGGACAGTCGTCTCCTGGCCACCGGAGGACAAGAACGACACGCGAAGGCGAGTCCCGGAGCCCTGCCAGGGTCGCAGCTCCCAAGAAGCAGCGGGTGAGAACGAGAAGGGCGCAACCCCCCACCCCCCCCCCAAGCAGCCCTGGTCAACAAAAAAGCCCCACGCCTGTCCCCCACCCCCCACCCCTTCCTCAGTCCATCTCCGCGTCCGCGCATTTTCCTTTCCGCTCCTACATCAAGCCCGCACACCCAGCCCTTTCCAGCATCCCTCGGCTGTCATCCTTATGCCTCCAGGCTGAGAAAACCCTCTCGGTTTTCTAAGGAGCCGGACGAAGCATCCAGAAATGGCCCTTTTAGGGTGGGGGCGGGAGACCCAGGGTGGGTGCGTTTCCACCGCAGCTCCAGGAGTCCCAGCCTCGCAGCACGCAGCATGCAGCCCGAGAACAATATCCAAGCTTCAACCATGCATATTCAATCTGGCATCCATTTGCTTGCAGCCGGCAGGCCAGCACTGCAGCATCTCTCTGACAATGAAAAGGATACAGCGGATCGGGCGCGCTACCTACGACGCCCTGAATGCAATCACGCTATTTTCGTTCCTTACAAAGTAGGTGGCTCACCAGCCTATATAAATGCATCTCCCACCACCACGATCGCCTTCTTTAGCAACAGGGGAGGGGAAAGTCGAGACCCTCTCCCCCCCCCCCTTCTTTTAGAATAGATTCCTTAAAATGCTCTGTGCCACAAAAGGTTGTTGACCCACCGGAGATTTCCCAAGTACCAAACTCACCGTGATGCGTGGAATATTTTTCTTCCCCTGATAAGACATTTCTCTCCCAGGAAAAAAAAAATTAATTTCAAGAGGATAGCTTTAGAGCAAAATTGGCAGGCAAAGAGACGTGGTTATTATTATTAAATTTTTTTTTTTGGCAGAATTGAAGAAGGTGCAAAAGCTTAGCTGGTCTTGCTGATAGCAAATTTCAGGGACGTAAGAGATAAATGCAATCCTCGATCTCTCTTTCTTCCTGCCCTCCAACACAGCCCCGGCTAGGGCGGAAAAAAAAAGAGAGAAGAGAACAGAGAGAGAACAGGAGGGAAGGGGGTGGAAATAAACTACAGCAATAAAAGCCTCGGTTCAAGGCACCCACCGCAGCGCATGCGCCGCCAGCCACTCCCTTTCCTCTCCGGCAAAAGCCATCCGCTTCGAGAGAGGCGAGCCCTGATTGGCCACACGGGCGGGCTATGCAAATGTGCGCCGAAGGGGCGGGGAGGCGCGCGAGCGCGCGAAATGCTGCAGTGAGCGGCCGAGGGCGGCGGTCGGGGCGTGCGCCCGGGCGCGGGGGAGCGCGCCTTTCGCGCCCTTTTCCGCCCGCTGGGTACCTCGGGGTGGGGCCGCGGCCGGCAGCGTGCAGAGGAACGGGTGCCTTTAAGGGGGCACGGGGCGCGGGGGGCTGCTTCGGAGAGGCCTGCGCGCGCCCCGAAGGA